TATGTCTTCTGAAATTGGTACACTTACTATATTTATTTTACAGAAGAGGAAACTGAAGCAAAGAAATGTTAATTAACTTGATACACAGTTTATGAGTAGATAAGCCAGGATTAAAATAAAGACAATCTGATTCTTAAAAAAAGGTAACTCTTAAGCACTCCACTAAATTCAACTTGAAATATGGAGATAGCATGTTTCAAATGCTTTCATAAGAAAATAGAAAACACCAACATAAAATTAACATTATGTTTTCATTTCATTACTGGTAATGAAATATTGTTTGATAGAAGACAAAGAGAATTCTGAATTCATTTATACCAATCTCCTTTTATAGATTACATAAGTGAGGCTTAGAGAGGTGAAAGTAACTTGCCCAATATTGTACTTAACAGCCAAGACTAAAGCCTAAATCTTCTGACTCCCAGCCCAGCTATCCACCTGCTTCACTGGAAGATAGAACATTTGCCTGTGGAGACATGTAACTCTACAAACACTTTATGCAATGGTATAATGCTAGCACATTCCAAACACATAGTATATAACATGAATAAACACATTTCTTTTGTGGAGATAATGAACCAAACGTTATTTAAGAGGCCAATGAAGTTCCAATATTTTAGCGACAACTATGTGTTAAGTGCTGTTTCAGATACTTAAGCTTTATTAGTGAACAAAAGAAACCTCTTTACTGGTTTACATTTAGTGGGAAGAAACAAATATTACACTATAGATACATTAAGTAGGCAAATTATATAATGTGTTAGAAGGTAGTAAGTGCTATCATAAAAATAAAAGTAGGGCAGGATCAGATAGGGAGTACCAGTCTGGGACAAAAAGAGCAGATCGAAATTTTAAACAGGATGGTCAGGATCAGCCTCACTGAGAGAATATTTGAGTAGATCCTGAGGTGGGGAGAGAGTTAGCCATGTGGATAAGGTGCGAAAAGTGTTACAGGTTAAAGGAATAGCCAACACAAACTTCTTTGGAGAGACTGCCTATTACATTTGGGGAGAAGAGCATGGGGTGCCCTGAGAATAACAGGTGAGATTAGAACTGTAAACTGGTTTATGTGTAGGAAGCTTTTGACAACTGAATTAACTTTATTAGTGAAATATAAGCTACAGATTTCCTATTTACTATATTTATTATCAGGTGAAAGAAGTATACAGTAGTCCCCCCCTTATCTGCAGTTTCACTCTCCATAGTTTCAGTTACCCAAAATGAATCATGGTTTGAAAATATTAAATGAAAAATTACATAAATAATTCATAAATTTTAAATTGTGTGCCATTGTCCATAACATAATGAAATTTCCAAACTACAAAATTTCAGCCAGTGTGTGGTAAGTGCTCAGCTATGATGGAAAAACATTAAACTTTAGCGTAGGTAAGTATGTATAGGAAAAGACACTGTATACAAGGTTTCTGGCATCTGCTGGGGGTCTTGGAACCCGCCTCTTAGGGGTAACAGAGAACTACTGTAGTTCTCTGACTCTCACTGTTATATTAGAATTAAAACTGGTTTGAAGCTCTAATTTGTCACTTCAATTGTGTAAAAATTGCATGTGAATTGCATGTTAATGATTTATGTGTGTGAGGTCCCTTCACCAGCCATTCTAATTCAATGTGAGGATGGGAAGGACACTGAATTTTATTAATGCTCCTGCTGATTCTAATATGCAGTCGTGGCTAAAAAGCTCTACTCTGCCACTCGTGGAAAAGAGGCTTTTCTCCTTCCTGTTCCCAAGTAGTCTACTCAGGATGCTAAGCGTTCTTGCTGCTCCAGCTCAACTCAGTAACATCACAACCTGGAATTCCCAAATCATAGACTCCCTTACAGAAATCCAGGGATCTTTCTGGCCACTCCATTGAAGAGGAAAGGTGGGGCAAGCCACAATTCTCCTTTGCTGCCCATTCATAAACTCCCACACCAACAAACAAGACTGGTGTCAAATGACTGAGAAGTTTGTTGAGAGAATGACCATGTCAGAGGAGTGAGAAGAGAGCAGCAATGTGGTGACATCAGTTGCATTATAAAAACTTTAATAACAAGGCATCTAATATTCACTTTTACATTTTGGCAGTCATGGTAAAAAATATCCTGTTTCTCCAAATCTTGTTTCATTTTATGTGAGCTGGGCACATTTTTGGCACACAACAAACATGAGTAAATGACTTCAAGTGGGCTGAACACAGAAAGTAACAAGCCCCAACCCATTCTTTTCCAATCCTCCAATCTTGTTCCAGAGGTAATTGCATTAACAAAATATCCAGCAGGTCTTATACATATGCACACTCATGTCTCCCTTTAGTTCTAAGAATTTTTTTCTTGTTTCATCCAACCAATTCCTAAATAATACACTTATGCTGCTAGTTCTGGATAAATCCATGTTGGATCTTGCATACTCACTTCCTACCAAGACAGGTAGGATTTTACTAAATTAACCATCCCAAATTTTCTCTCCCTGTAAAACCAAATCAATTATGTAACTATTTTGTTAGTTTTTCCATTGATGACATACAGGATAGAGCAAAAGTAGGTTTACAGTTTTAAGTAAGTGAAACACAATGTATTCTTCTATTATTTTTCTCCACACAAACTGTAAACCTACTTTTGCCCCACCCTGCGTATACTTAAACCCCTATTTCTTGTGACTTCTCAATCTCTCTTCACTTTTTCAAATGAAAACATTGTATCCCATACCCTTCTCATCTCTCTTGCTCTTTCACATTATGGTTAGCATCTACAACCTATTGTATAACCACAATTAAGGCATTCTTTCTTTGTTTGCAGGTGGACTATAAATCTGAAAATCAGTTATTTACATTCCTACATAAACACTGTTCTCTGCCCAAATTATGTTTTATGACTATACTACTTGTTTTTTGTATACTATTTGTCTTATACCCCGACCCATAGAGGACTTCGAACCACCTTTTTAATATTGCCCTGAATTTTATGGCATCATTAGAATGGGTTCTTCCCACATTGCCAGGATCTGATTACATCTATAGACCCCCCTTTTTTTTTCCTTACAGGAAGTTCTCTTACCGTATGATCCCAAGTTCTGCTAAACAGTTGTCATCCTGGGACTTACCTTCATTGCTTTTCTGAATTAGTTCCGTTGTTCATAGAGCCAACCTGATCCAATTTCTCGGATAATTTCATTGTTTTGCCAGCCCACGAGTAACATAATAAAGAGTACTTAGGAGACAAGGCTTTTTCAATTTATGTTTATTTTCCTTTTTCATTCTGCCCCCCATATTTTATCAATAGTTTTCCTTGGTACAGAATTCCAAGTTCAAAGTTATTTCCTCGTGGAACTTTCAGGGTATTGCTCCTCTCTTAATATCTAATCCGGGTGATGAGAAGCCTGTTGTCAGCCTAATCCCCATTCCTTTGTGGAGGACCTGTATTAGCTGTCTGGAAGATTTTAGAATCTTATTCTTGCCATCCTTAAATTTCATGACATGCCTACATGTAGACTTTCTTCTTTTTCCTGCTCAGTACTCAGCAGGTCTTATACATTTGCACACTCATGTCTCCCTTTAGTTCTAAGAATTTTTTTCTTGTAAATTTCATTCAACCATTTGCTCTATTCTCACTTTCTGGCACTCTGATGTTGAAAACCTCCATCGATTCTGTTAGGACTTCCATTTCCTGTCGTATTTTTTGTCTCTGTATAATGTTCTCTACTTTTTTCCTTTTCTCCAATTTTGTAGTAATGTAAATAAAACTTTCAAGTTGACCTTACAGGCAATGAGACAAAGAAATGAGTGGTAACTGTTGGGGAGGAAAAAGTGTTCTTTTACCTTAAGATCCTTCTGGCTGGACTAACAACCAATTTGAAATGAGACAGATTAGCAGAAAAAGTAATTAAAATTTAATAACACATATGCCTCCTGTGTACATAGGAGAGACCGAGGAACACTGAGTAACTCACCAAATAGTGGAAGCCATCACCTTAAATACCATCTTAAATTAAGGACAGAAGTTGGGGATGGAAAGTCAGGTGGGGGAGAAAATACTGTGGCGGCAGGGGCTGAGGGGAAACTCGAGGTGAAAACAGAGCCATAAAAGAAAATCTATCAAGTGCTTGCGAACTCCAGTTCCCTGTGTTGGCACAGATTTTCAGATATTTTTATTAGGTCCTCTGAAATGCTAATGTTGATAGAAAAGCAAGTTCAGGCTTCACCTTATCAAACAACACCTACATCAGCTTAGTGTGCCAAGTGACAATAATTCAGAGAAAAACATAGACGTTTTAAAACGAGTGTGTATATACACTACCTCACATTCTGTAGCCCTGTGGCGGGCTGAGTCCCGTAGACTTAAATGCCACAAAGTCTGAAACACCTCCCAAGTGCAAGTTTGTTCAATGGCAACAGCAAAAGTTGGAAACTTAAAAGAAACTATTTGAAAAGGGAAACACGCATCTGTATTCTAAGTGAGAAAACAAAACTGGTTTGCGAAGGAAAAGAGAGCCAGCTGTGTGAAAACGTGCTCAGCCCGCCGTCTTCCCGGGTCCGTGCGCCTCTCACTCGGCTGTGACTCCTTCCGGACCACCTCCGCCTGCAGACCCGCCCAGCAAGGTGCCCCCTCCCTCATTCCACCCACAACAGCCTGCGGGCCCGCCTGTCCACTCCTCGGTGCGGGACGGATCCCTGGGTCTCGCGCGGCGACGCGGGCGGTTCCCACAGCCAGGGGAGTCCGTGAGCCGCACTCCTAGTGTAAAGCAGAGCCCGCTCTGGAGGAAGCCCTGAAGTGGCTCGGGCGCGGACAGACTTCCCCCTAACTCCCGCGCTCAATCCGTTGTAGGCTCCGCCCCCAAGCCCGCCGCGCCCGCTGTACCAATCGCAGGCCTCGCACCTGCGAGGAGGCGCCGCCCCGCCCACCGCAGCGTCCAGAGCGTCCCTACGGCGCCGGGTCCGCGCGACGGGAGCGGAAGCTGCGTCTAGTCTACCGGGTGTCGAGCTCCACTGGTCATTCAGTTGCGGCTTCCGGGCGCCGCGACCCTCGATCCAGCCGGGCGGCCCTGCCGGGGGAGGCGGCGGGGCCCGCGATTCATGCCGGTGTGGTGCTGCCGCTGCTCTCTCGCCGAGCATGTCAGGTGACTTCCCCGCCGGGAAGGGTCGCGAGGGAACGGAGGAATGAACGCAGGGAGCGGTGAACTAACCGGCCGGGCGGGCGGACGGACCGGGGTCGTGTGGGCCAGGAGGGGCGAGGAGGGCGCCCAGTTGCCCTGGCCTGCCTCCGCCATTCCGCAGTCCCGGGGCTACACCAGTCACGCGCTTGAGTTTGGGAGGCCCGAGCCAGACGGCTGTTCAACTGCAAAGTTTTGCGGAAGAAGGGTTGCGAACCGCCCGCTATCCCCTTTAGTTTATGTACTTAAAAACATTTAAGCTTAGTCACTGGGTGGAAGGCGGTAGGGTACTAGGTTTTCAGTGTGATGATCTGTTTACAGTAGCTTCTAACTGAGATGTTCGTTATCTGAAGCCGTAGTAGATACTGTAGAAACTTGAAAAACGTGCGAGTCTGGACAGTTGTCAGCGTGACGAGGGCCGCCCTTGCAAAGAGCGAATGTGTGTTCTAGATACAGTTCCAGTTTTTTACGGAGGGAAAGACCTAGGAGGACCTTGCCTTCCAGGTACCAATGTACCAGGATAATGATGTGAACACTCCTCTCTTTCTTTTCTTCTTTTTTTTTTTTTTTTTTGGCATGTACAAAACGCCATCAAGAGTTATTAAATTGGATTTCGTAGATAGACTATAAGTGGCCCATGAACTTGGATGTAAAGAAGAGTACAGCAGAATTTTCACTAAGTTTTAATACCAAACTCTGGTATTCAAGTATGAATAGAAGCAGCAATATTTGTGACTTTGTCACCACTAGAAATCACAAATATTTTCATATTGTAGTTGTCGTACATATCTAGAAATACTGTTTATGCTTATTTCTTCAAAATTGCAGTATTTATTACTTATCACCAAACTTGTTTAAAGAGCACACAAGTATACCTCTTTTTATTGTGCTTCACAAGTGTAGCAATTTTTATACACTGAAGGCAAGACCTTCCACCAGCAACTATAGTTAATTCCATTCATACTAGCATCAAAAAGAATGAAATAGGAATAATTTTAACAAAAGAAATGTAAGACTTACTTAAAACTACGAAACATCACTGAGAATAATTAAAGAAAGGCTAAGTAAATGAAAAGGAATCCCATGTTATATGGATTGAAAGTCATGATACACAGGGTGAGGCAAAAGTAGGTTTACAGTTATATGCAAAACAGTTTATTCTTGTGTTATTTACTACTTTATTATTTTCCATACGAACAACTGTAAACCTACTTTTGCCCAGCCCTCTACTTAAGATGGCAGTATTTCTTAATTGATTTACAAAGTTAGTGAAATCCTATCAAAATCCTAGTTGTTGTTTTTTTTTTTTTCAGAAAAACATATGGAATTGTACAGAACCCAGAATAGTGAAGACAGTCTTGATAAACAAAAAGTTGGAGGATTTCAACTTCCAGATTTCAGATTTTACTACAGAGAAAGAAATTTAACAGTGTGGTGCTGGCATAGAGATAAACATATATCCAATGAAATACAATTGAGAGTTCAGAAATAAATCCTTACCCTTATTGTCCTTCGGTTTTCCATGGTATTCCGAGACAAAGGAGAAATAACAGTCTCTTCAACAACTGGTACCAGGACAGATATCCACAGGTGAAATAATGAAGTTGTACTTCTCTCTCACACCATATACAAGAATTTACTCAAAATAAATTAAAAACTTAAATGTAAGAACTAGAACTATAATTATAGAAGAAAGCATTGGAGTAAATTTTTGTGACCTTGGTGTGTCCTTGCTGTCCCAAACAGCAGAGGCACAAACACCATATCTAATTAATATATTAGATGTGACACCAAAAGCATAGTAACAAAAATAAATAAATAAATAAATTGGACTTGATCAAAATTTAAAACTGTTGTGATTAAAAAGACAACAAAGAGAGTGAATAGGCAACCCACAGAATGGAAGAAAATATTCAAAAATCTTATCTAAAAAGGGAGTTGTATCAAGAATATATAAAGGATTTTTAAAGCTCAGCAACAGACAGAACCAATTTGAAAGTGAGCAAAGAATTTGTTTCTCCAAAGAAGGTATATAAATGACCAATAAGCATATGAAAAGATAAGTTTAACATTAGTCCATTTATTGCATGAGCATGTCAGAATGCTAAAGCTAGTTTCTAGGAAGGTAGTTGGAAAAGAAAGAAGATTGGAAATCAACATTAACATCCTTCCATATTTTAGTATCTCTTTGAGAATTAATAAAATGTGTAAACATAATTTTACCAAAACTCACAATTTATATTTAAGCCCAGTAACCTTTCCTTAAAATATTATGTATGACTTTTGTTTTAAATATACTGTCTCTAATGTACTTTGTATTAATGAGAGAAAAGTAAAAGAGAAACTTACCTACTCCTAGGAAATCTTAGAAAATTAAAAATTTCTGTACAATGCTGTGTCTTTGGTTGTTAAAGATAGCTTCTTATGTAAGACTTGCCTATAAAGTACTAAAAAGACATTAGCCACTATTTAGGATTTCTGGCATTCAAAGTGGAGTAGGTTGACATGTAGCTAAGCTACTAATTTGAAAACATTAATCAGGAGGAATTTCTCCTTTTATGAAACTATTGAATATTTTTTTGGCCTAAATAAAACCTGAATAAAGATAGACTTCTATAAAGGCTGTATTGACTATATATCTCAGTTATTTTTTCTTTCTTTTTTTTTTTTATTTAAGAAACTATGGTGACACTGAAACTGAAGCAGAAATTTATAATTCTTTAGTGCAATACTTTGGTGATAATTTGAGGCGAAAAGTTAAGGCAATGCCATTAGTTGAAGAAACTTTACTTGAAGATTCATCAGTGACTTTGCCTGTGGTAGTAATTGGTAAGTTACTGCATTTTATCTCTTAAAATTATAGTTACAATCCTTACTCTTTATAAATTTACAGTTACATAGTTACAAGTTCTTAGGATTGTATTAAAAAGTATTATGAGGTTTGATATCTTAAAACAACCAAAAACCAAATCTTTCTCCAAAGATATTTATCTGATATTAGGTCCTGTGTTATAATGCAGCATTCATTCATTAAGGATTGATATTACTCTATTATTTTAAAACACTATCTGTTGTCTTGATTATATGACACAACATATAATGGTGATGGTTTGTCCTGGTGATGATGACAGCCTTTATTTTGTTTCCAAATAAGCGGGAAGGAGAGAAAAGTCCTCTCCTGACTGGCATGTGGGAGATTCAGTAGAAGGAGGAAGGGAAGATAGTTCTATACTAGATTCCCCTGTCAGGGGGAGGATAGAGAGGAGTTTTTACACTGGTTCTCATCCAGGATATCTTGCAGACCATGCCTTGTGTACCATTTTCCAACTTACGTCCACCCTAGTTTTTCATCCTTGGTATCTAAAAATAAATAAAGGAACCTTTGCTTTTTGTTCTGTCTTGGCTGTGGGAGAGTTAGGAAAGCAAAAACCACCTTCGTATTTACTTGCCCACCTCACTCCCCCGCGCCCCCAGTCTATTCCTATTTAGTCTCAGCTAGCCAGTGAGTATAACTAATGTATATAGTACTGTTGGCAGAAGTGCCACCAGCCTGAAAGTGCTAATTTCTTTACTGTATTTTATATAGTATGGATGTTTCACAATTTGATTATCCATTCATGAATTGAATGACATCTGGATTGCTTCCAAGTTTTGACAATTATGAGTAAAGCTCTTATAAACGCGCAGATTTTGGCATGGCCATTGTTTTCAGTTCATTTAGGTAAATACTGAGGAATGTGATTGCTGGGTCATCTGGTAAGACTATTTAGTTTTTTAATAAACTGTCAAACTGTCTTCCAAAGTGACTGTACCCTTTTGCATTCCTAAGCGGGTATAAATAAAAGTTCCAGTTGTTCCATAGCCTTTTCAACATTTGGTGTTGTCAGTATTGTGGATCTTTGCCATCTGATAGGTTTGTAGCAGGATCTCATTGTTTTAATTTGCAGTTCTGTAAAGATAGATGAAGTTGAGCGTCTTTTCATATGCTTATTTGCCATCTGTATACCTTTAAAATGTCCAGATCTTTTGCCTACTTTTTAATTGATTGGGTTGTTAGTTTTCTTATGGTTGAGAATTAAGAGTTTTTTCAAATACATGTTTTGTAAATATTTTCTCCCAGTCTATGATTTGTCTTTTCATTTTCTTAACAATGTCTTTTGCAGAGCAGAAGAATTTAAATTTTAATTAAATGTATCAGGTTTTTGTTTGTTTGTTTTATGAATCCTGCTTTTGGTGTTATAACTAAAAATTCAGTACCAAACCTAAGATCCCCTACGTTTTCTCCTATGTTTTATTCTAGAAGTTTTATAATTTTGTGTCTTCTGTTTAGGTCCATGATCTGTTTTGAGTTAATTTTTGTAAAGATGCAAGGTTAGTGTCTAGATTCATATTTTGGCATGTGGATGTACACTTGTTCCAGTACCATTTATTGAAAAGACCTTATCTCCATTGGATTGCCTTTGCTTTTTTTTTTTTTTTTTTTTTTTGGTTAAAAATAAATTTGGACAAATAGGTTGACTATACTTGTGAGGATCTATCTCTGGGTTCTCTAAGTCTGTTCCGTTTATTTGTCCTTTCATTATTTCCACAGTCATGTTGACTGTAGTTTTATAGTAAGACTTGAAGTTGGATGGTTTCTGTCTTTATTTTGTTCTACATTGTGTTGGCTATTCTCATTCCATGTTTCCATTTGAACTTTAGAATCAGTTTGCCAGTATCCACAAAGTAACTTGCTGGGATTTGGTTTGGATTCATTAAATCTGTAAATCAATTGGGAAAAACTGACATCTTAACAAGACTGAGTCTTCCTGTCACAAGCTTGGAATGTCTTTCCATCTATTTAGATATGTTTTCAGTTCTTTTATCAGTTTTGTGGTTTTTCTTATATAGCCTTTACCTGTATTTTGTTAGATTTATATCAAAATATTTTTCTTTTTTGTGCAAATATAAACAGTTGTGAGTTGCATTTCAAATTCCAGTTGTTCATTGCTTATTTTTGAATAGCAGTTGGCTTCTGTATATTAACCTAGCATCTTGCAATCTTGCCATAATTGCCTGTTAGTACAAGGAGTTTTGTTTTGTTTTGTTTTTTGTCAGTTCTTTGGGATTTTCTACATAGATAATCATGGCATTATGAACAAAGGCAGTTTTTTTTCTTCCTCCCCAATCTGAGTACCTTTTATTTCCTTTTCTTATCTTAATACGATTATCCACATCTTCCATCAAGGTGTGTGTTCAGTAGGAATGGTGTAAAGAGACACCCTTGTCTTGATTGTAAAGGGAAAGCACCTAGTTTTTCTCCATTAAGATGATATTAGTTGTAGGCTTTTTGTAGATATTCTTTTTCAAGCTGAGGAAGTCCCCCTCTATTTGTAGTTTGCTGAGAGTTTTTATCATGAATAGGTATTTTGTCAAATGCTTTTTGTATATCTGTTGATATTATCATGATTTTTGTTCTTTAGCATTGTCTTTGTTTGATTCAAGGAAATTAGCTCTTTGTCTCAATCTTAACTCCCATTACTTGTCATTAGTTGATAACTTTTATGGAGGCAAAAGATTTATTTTACTCTTCTTTTGAGGGGTTTTTTTTTTTTTTTTTAAGATTTTATTTTTAGAGAGAGTGGAAAGGAGGGATAAAAACAGGGAGAGAAACGCAATAGCTATATGCAAGAGAAACAACTGATCGGTTGCCTCTCACATGCCCCTAACCAGAGAGACCTGACCCAAAACTCAGGCGTTTGCTCTGACTGTGAATCAAACTGGTGACTTTCTGGAACCAACTCACTGAGGCGCACCAGTCAGGGCTGTCTTTTGAGTTTTGTGTCATGCTCCAGCATTGTAAGTGTAAATATTACCCACTTTACTAACATTATTATCATTTTACTTTTCATATTTACATCTTTGAGCTTATTTGGGACAAAGTATTAGGCAGAAAATAGGATTCTTTTTCCCCTATAGTCAGCAGTTGTCTTAGTTGGATTAAGTTTTTGATGGATGTAGATAACAGAGAATTGACGACCCAGACCAAAGGGACTACAGAAATGGGAGTAGCTCTGAAAAATCTAGTTTGGTTTTAGTTAAAGCATATAAAAATATGGGAAAGCAATATTAAGGCATGGGACTGCAAAGATGGTTGAGACTACAACAGAGAACATTGGGTAGTCAGAAACAAGCACTTAAGGCCTTTAGAACAGAGGGAGTAACATGCTGAAGACCATGTGTTGCCAAAACTCATCTGAATGTGAAATGATTTTGGAGTAAGTAAATCTAAGGACGGAAAATATGTCTTCTGAGTGAGAGTATAGGAATGAGCATAGCAAAGACAATGAATGGATGTAGATTACAAATTGGTATAGAACCAGAACCTGATTGATTAAGGATTTTGCTAGTGCCATATGTTGAGAAGGGATCTTACTTAGAAGTAGAGGGCACCTAAATGAAGAAACCTATGAATTTGCTTTTGAACACATTTTATTAAGTTATTAGTGGGTCTTTCAGGTGGAGTAAAGTAAGTACTACATGAAAATGTAGGCTGTATTTTGAGAGAAGAGGTCACCTAGAGATCTAATTCTGGGAATCAGCATAAAGAGTTGAAGCTCTGAGTAAATGATACTCCCCAGAAAAACCACGAGTAAAGACAAAAGTTACAATTCTTGGGAATACTTGGTTTTCAGAGTTTGGAGAAGGCAGAGTTGGTGAGGGAGAAAAGCCAAGAAATAGGAGTATGATGCATGATACAGCCTCTTAACTGTTTTCTTTTTTTAAATAGGAAATGGACCCTCAGGGATCTGCCTTTCTTATATGTTATCAGGGTACAGACCATATTTATCATCAGAAGCAGTACATCCAAATACAATCTTACATGGTAAATTACAAGAAGCCAGACACCTTTCCATTGTAGATCAGGTATTATTTTTTGTCAGTGTTTTTAATTTTTTTATACTGAAACAAGATTAGTTCTACTTACATAAGCATTGTCTTTAGTAATTGAAAATCCTTTCATCTGACAACACTTTCTATCATTTTTATTTCAGATTTATAAGCGCATTCTGCTGAGTTACTTCTGTTTATTTTCCTGATTGATAAGAGCAGAATTTCCCAAATGATTTCCTGATAAAGTTTTTAATAGGTGCTCTATGCTCAAATAAGTTTGGAAAGTTCTGTCTTTTATGTTGCAGTGTCACTATAAACATATTAAGTCGTACGTATTAGCATATAAAAGGCATCTTCAAATTTTGCAATAAAAGGATCTTATTAGATTTGTTGAAATCCAGCCTTTCCCATATTTATTTGCTCTATTGAGATCTCAAGGAACCATCAGTGTACTATAGCACACTCCCTGGGAAATGCTGGATTAGAATAATGGCCTTTGCTTTATGGTAGCATTGGTTTGTATTTTTCTTTTTTCAAACTCTGTCTGACTTTTCCTTTCTTTCTAAAAAAAATTCATTCAGGACTTAGAATACTTGTCTGAGGGTCTTGAGGGCCGATCATCCAATCCAGTTGCAGTACTTTTTGACACACTTCTTCATCCAGATGCTGACTTTGGGTATGACTATCCATCCGTTTTGCATTGGAAATTGGAACAACATCATTATATCCCTCACTTAGTACTTGGTAAAGGTCCACCTGGTGGAGCTTGGCATGTGAGTATACTTCTCTTAGCATTCTGGTGTATATGAGTTGTTTTTTATATATATATCTTAATAAGACTATTTTGATTCTTGAGCAGTATGATACAATGTTATATATGATATACACTGAATTTTTACCTGGAATTTTAATCGTGTTCAATTAATGTGGTTAGTTAAATTTGATAACTGATAGTCTTAGAATAAGCATTTCTCTATACTATTTTATAATACAGAAAATATTTTAATATTTTGCATAGTAAAAAAATTTTATTTTAGAATAAAATTGCAATATTTCATACCCATATCCATTATTCTTCTACATTTTCAAGATCTTAAATAAAAGATGTATTGTAATATAATGAAATTATATTAGTCTGCTTCAGCAGCTATAACAAACTTCCAGAGACTAAGTAGCTTAAACAGCAGATACTTAATTTCTCACAGCTTGGAAACTGCGATATTCAGGATCAAGGAGCCGGTGTATTCACTTCCTGGTGAGGGCTTTTTCCCTGGCTTGCAGACAGCTGCTTTCTTGCTGAGTCCTCACAGGGCAGAGAGAGCATGATCTCTGTCTTCCTCCTCTTATAAAGCCACTAATCCTGTCATGAGGGCCCCACCCTCTAGTGACCTCATTGTGGGCATAATGACCTCTGAAGGACCCACTTCCAAATAACCATCACACTGGGAGTTAGGGCTTCTCCTGGGATCAGGAGATGATACAGTTTAGTCCATAGCACAAGTTTAACCAGAGTACTGATAACATTAAGATTCAGTGCATTTTGTTAGGGGGCAACAACTAACAATTATTGTACACTCTGTGTCCTTCGCAGTCAGTGTAGTATCTAGTGTATAGAGAGTGCTTATTTGTTGTACAAATGTTTAAAAAATTTGCTATGTTGTGAAGTACAGACTTCATAGAATTTTAAAATTGATATCAAATCTTGAGTACAAACTTCAGTTAGATATGCCCATATATTGGTGCAGTGTTATATGTCTAAAAGCTGTTTAATTTTTCTTTTCAAGTGACAACCAATTAGGGATGCTCATCCATGTATTGGTGTCCAGGGATTTTCCGGGGGGGGCGGGTCACCCCAGTCATGTAGGCCAGCAGCACCCATGTGACTTGCCTTTGCAACTGATCCCTGCTTCTCAGAGCAAACAGCCATGTTTACCATAAATCACATATGCAAGGGCCACACTGGTATTGCATGGCCCATGGCTTCTAGCATGCAGAAAATATTCTCATCAGGTAAAATATTCCAAGGATGGGTGTCTTCTAGGAGGTGGCCAGGGGTCAGTTCCGAACACAGACCTTTCTTAGTAATGTATAGGGCTACTACAACCGAAGCCTGTTAATACTTTTCCGCATGAGGCTAAACTTTTTATTAACAAACAAACAGTCACATAACTTGTTGGTTCTGTCTGGGATAGTCTCCCTTTCTAAAACTGCACTCCTCAAAGTCCTTGTGGCCTTTAGGAAATACTCTCTTTATTCTTCTACAGTACTTCTCAGGTTTGCATTTGCATCCCTTGGTATGCTGTGTCTCCATGACAGCAGGTGCGCAGGGCATATACTTTGCATAGGGAAAAAAAGAAAAAAGCCTGTTGGGAGAAAAATGAACAGATCAAGGGATTAGGGTTCACAACCAATTAGAAGAACTGGTGTGATGAGAATAAAGTTTAGAAATTGTTGACAGAAAGTGGAATATTAATGCTTTAAGGGTTTTGAGTTCTAGATGAGATGATTATATGGTTCCACATAACATCTGACATATAATCTTAACAGCTCCCCTTCTGATTATCCCAGTTTCCCATCCTGCTTCTGATCCTAGTCCCAGGCCCAGCCCACTTCAAAGCAGTGGCAGCTTGCAGCGTTTCTCCCTGTGGTGATCTGTGTCACAAATAATAGTCTTCATAAGGCCTAGCACATAGTAAGTGTTCTCTAAATGTTGGCCAATAATAATAAGTCCCATTCCTAATACTAGGCTTTATAGACACAGGGCAAGAGAATTAGGGGAAAAGAAGCCATAGCCTGAAAGAGTTGGTTGAAAGAAATTGAAGTCATTGGGACACGTGCAATTGGCCCTTGGGCTTTTCTAGCTTTGTGCTGAGCAAAGAAAAAGTAAGTAGGACATGTGAGATTGAAGGGCTTACTTCCTTAAAGGCAGCATTAGCATTAGCCGTGAATTTGTTCTTAACCAGGGAACCACTGCTGCTTTTCCTAGTTCTAAGAAGAGACGCTGCTATATCCAAATCAGCAAAGACATCTAAAGTGTGGAAATTGATTAACTATTTTCCTGTTGTTTAAAAAGTGCAAATACTGATTTGTTTCTCTAGCAGAGTATTTTGTATCTGAATTATCATGTTGATTATAAGCCAGAGCTATCAACATTGTGTAGGCATTGAGTAATATCGTAAATTTGTTTTGTAAATGTATAACTATAATAAAGAAGGAATATAGCCCTGGCTGGTGTGGCTCAGTGGATTGAGTGTCAGCCTGCAAACCAAATGGTCACCAGTTTGATTCCCAGTCAGGGCACATACCTGGATTGTAGGCCAGGTCTCCAGTGGGGGGCGCTTGAGAAGCAACCACACATTGATATTTCCCTCTCTTTCTCTTTCCCTTCCCCCTCTTTAAAAATAAATAATCTTTTTAAAAAAGGAATATAAATACCTATATTTATATAGATATAAGTTAATATACATTTATATTCCTACCAAATTATGAAATATAACTACCAAATGATGAAAGCATTATTTGAAAGTTTATTGGAATAAACTTTGAGAGGTAATATGTACAGCCATTTAGGACTTCTTTGAGTTCTCCTTATCCAGACTCTTAAATAGATGGCTTTGGTTTTAAAAAATGAACAAACAGAAAACTATGTTACTGCTTAAATGTGTTTTTTGACTGTACATTTTTTATTCAAATAGAGTATGGAAGGCTCCATGTTGACAATCAGCTTTGGTAGTTGGATGGAGCTACCTGGACTTAAATTTAAAGACTGGGTAACCAGCAAACGAAGGTAAAGATCAAACTTTTAAAATTCTTTGGTATGCAATGAGAAGACTGTCAGCAAATTTCAAAATATTTGTGATCCTGTCTTAGGTGAATAACAAAAATATCTGTTTCTCAAGTGAAAGTCCTCTCTGCAGCAGTGATTGTGAGCTAGTTACCACTTAGAGATGTTATTAGACAGCACAGAGGTAAGGAATGTTTTGTCTGTAGATTAGGTTCCTGACTTCTCTGTAAATCTGGATGGATTTATCCAATCCTGTTCATCCACTATGTTTAGTTACTTTCTTATTCACCCACATATCCTTTCCATACTTACTTATTTTTATGAGTAGATTTATAAGTTCACATGTGCATATTTCATGTGTACATACTTAAGGTGTTTGACTTTCAGACTAGAGGAGTGTGTTCGAGTATGAACTAGAATTGATGGTGTGATTGGCTACTTGGGTATAGAGTTAAATATTTAATAAGAAAGTTTAAATAACAGAAGAAATCTCAGCTTGAAAGAATACAAGTTTATTTTAGGGGGAAGAACCTAAAATTTAAAAAGAGTTGAAAAGTTCTATAATTTTCAAGGATAGTCAATATTAGGTAGAAATTACTAATACAGAGATTCTATCTAATTTGACTACTCACAGAACAGTAAATGAAAGCAGGAAGTTACTAAACCTTTGTTAGAACATGGCCGACATTTGAATGCTTAACTTCTTGCTAGACAGGAACCATTTTAATCCACCGAAATTATCCTAATTTGACAAGATTAAAGGAAAGCAAATTTAGACCAGGATGAGTAATTGAAATTAAACCTCTCAAATATTCCTGTTGGGTTTTTTAAAAAAGAATTATATATGGCTTTGAATCATGAAGTTGTAAAATCAGGCAAGTTGTGTAACTTCCTGATTTTCATAAGTCTGTAACTGAAACTGCTTGACATTCTTCACTCTGTGATGTGGATAAAAGAAAGGAAAGCTTTGTGACTTACGTACAGAGTGTTCACCCTTCTCAGGTGAGGATGCTGTGTATAGAATTAATCTGTGAGAATGATTCTTTTGGTACGCACCACCTTTCGCTCTTACCTTTGCATCGTGTTAAGAGAAGGCAGACTCTCCAATCTCTAGAGATTGACTCAATAACTTCTTATGTGATGACCCTGGTCACATAACTTAAAGTAGCCGTCAACTTCCTAGTCTGTAAAATGGAGATAATAATAGAAGTAACTACCACATAGGGTTTCTGTAAAAATTGAAAGTTAATACATTCTAAATCTTAATTATTATGGTCATTAAACTTCAGTGATTTGCTTTGTTTTCCCTGCTACTTGTCTCTGATTGGAGCACAATGTTTAGGGGTGTTAATGCCCATCGCTTTAAATTTCAACTGGAAAAATGAAAAGTGCACTAACACACTTTTTTTCCATAAAGATATTTTATTTATATGTATCTTTATGAGTAGGAAAACACAGAAATGTCGTTTATTATTTACCTAGACATAAGATGATTTTGTTTGCAAAAGACTGGTCTGACTTACTTTGGTAATTAGGAAAATAGAAAGCAACTTACTAAAAACTGTATCAGGGTGGTATATATTATCTTTACGAAGTATATATTAATATATATTACAATTAGACCTGGAATATCTTAACAGTTGCAACCCAAATTTAGTCTGTACTTAAAACAGTTTTAACCTTTTTCATTTCATGGCACACATAAACTAATTACTAGAATTCTGCAGCACACAGAAAAAATATATTTTTTGCCAGTCTGACAAAAGAAATAGGTATAGTTTTTATTACTTCACACCAAATGGGTATTGTTGTGTTAGCTGCTTTGATTTTTTTTATTTGAAGTCTAAGGGAGAAGAGGTCAGTGCCCTTGACTAAATAGACAGCCATTGCATGTTTTAAAAATTCTTGCAGCCCTGGCTGGTGTGGCTTAGTGGATTGAGCCACCTGCCTGCAAACCAAAAGGTTACCTGTTCAGTTCCCAGCTGGGGCATATGCCTGGGTTGCTGGCAAGGTCCCCAGTTTGGGGCATGCAAGGAGGAACCAATTAATGTTTCTCTTACACATTGATGTTTTGCTACCTCTCTTTCTCTCTTCCTTCCCCTCTCTAAAAAAATAAAATCTTTAAAAAAAAATTCTTGCAGTATACTGGTTGAAAATTGATTAAAGTATAGACCATAGACTGAATATTATAGTTAAACACTGAATTATTTAGATTACAGTTGTGACATAGACTGTAAAATAGTCTTATTTTCATATATCCACATTTTCATCCCTTCATTTAATAAAAGTTTACTGATAAGGCAGCTAATCTGAAAGGATACTATGAAAGACATTGGAAAAACATTCATTAAATACAGTCTCTGCCCTCACATGGGCTTCCTCTCTTTAACTAAAAAGGTTTTTTTTGTAAGGTATTAGGATAACTTATAGCTAAGACAGTTCAGAGGAATTAAAAAGATGTAATAGCTTAATAGATGGAAAAGTAATAATCATGGGAACTGAAAGTACTGTTCGCCTAGGATATTTTTCCTTTTCCTTTTCCAGAAATCTAAAAGGAGATCGAGTTATGCCGGAGGAAGTAGCTCGCTACTATAAGCACTATGTAAAAGTCATGGGTCTGGAGAAGAATTTCAGAGAGAATGCTTACATTACCTCTGTGTCAAGACTCTACAGAGATCAGGATGACAATGGTGGTCACGACCGAGCTATTTCAGCACAGCATTTACAGATTGAGAATTCCAAGTTGATCAAGAGAAACTGGGAGATCCAGGGTTATCAGCGAATAGCAGATGGTTCCCATGTTCCCTTCTGTCTCTTTGCTGAGAATGTAGCTCTGGCGACTGGAACATTGGATTCTCCTGCCCATCTGGAAATTGAAGGGGAAGATTTTCCTTTTGTGTTTCATTCAATGCCTGAATTTGGAGCAGCTATAAGCAAAGGAAAATTACGTGGCAACGTGGACCCAGTGTTAATTGTAGGTTCTGGGCTTACCGCCGCAGATGCAGTACTGTGCGCTTACAACAATAACATTCCTGTGATTCATGTATTTCGCAGACGAGTAACTGATCCAAGTTTAATATTCAAACAGCTTCCTAAAAAGCTGTATCCAGAATACCATAAGGTCTACCATATGATGTGTACTCAGTCATATTCTGTAGCCTCAAATCTTTTATCTGATTATACCAGTTTTCCTGAGCACCATGTGCTCTCCTTTAAGCCGAACATGAAATGCATCCTTCAGAGCGTCTCTGGATTGAAGAAAATATTTAAACTTTCTGCAGCAGCAGTGATGATAGGTTCTCATCCCAGTCTGTCTTTTTTGAAGGAGCAAGGCTGTTACCTGGGCCATAACTCAAGTCAGCCAATCACTTGTAAGGGCAATCCTGTGGAAATAGATGCGTATACCTACGAATGTGTTAAAGAAGCCCACCTGTTTGCATTGGGTCCTTTAGTTGGAGATAATTTTGTTCGATTTTTAAAGGGAGGGGCCCTGGGTGTTACACGCTGTTTAGCAATAAGACAGAAGAAAAAGCATTTATTTGTGGAACGGGGAGGAGGAGATGGGATAGCTTAAAGCAGGTTTACAAGTAATTTATATGGACAGTTTACCATTAAAGTTTTTAACTTTTTGCAGTGTACTGGCTTGAATTTTCTGGACTTGAATTAACTGGAGGAGAGACTCAAGCTATAGTAAATGTTTTTTAAAATAATGAGAACTTGGTGTGTCCTGACTTATACTGTAAAGAAGCAGTTTTCAAACTTTTTCATCTCATGGCACATACAAACTAATGACTCAAATTCTGCAGCACACCAACAATATGTATTTTTTTGCTGACCTAACGAAAAGGTACAATTTTGATTCATTTACAGAAAGAATAGTAATTAGTTACCCTTTTTGCACCACAGTGACTTTTTAAATTATCAGGTGCCTATTCTTATATTAAAGAATTTCTAGGACTAAGAATTAACCAATCAGATGCAACCTTATTATGCAACTTGAACAATAAGATGCACCTCTGTTAAATGACCTTAACATTTATGGCTCAAGACAGGGCATTCATATCAGACAACTACTGTTGGGATTGGCTGTTGTCATGTTTTTATTTGACAGTCTAAGGGAAAAAGGTACTCCTGACTTACATAGTCAGGTATTGCATGTTTTAAAAATTCTTGCTGCATACTAATTGAAAATCACTACTGTAATGTATCAGAGGTGTTACTGTCAGACAAATGGAAACACTGCCAATTTGGTACACTTTAAGCTCTCACCTAACTAAAACATTCTTTCAAGAAGTACTTTTTGTGATCACTTTTGGTTGGTATGATTGATTACAAAACATTACAGCTGATTTTATAAAACGGCAATGTATGTAATGACTGTAAAACAGTCATTAGGCCAGAAATTGTCCTCACTACAAATTGGGTCATCTTGCTAAATAAAGGGTTGTCCAAAACCAAGCATCATCTCCATCTCTAGCTTGTTAGAAATGTAGACTCCAGACCCCATCACAGACTTAGTGCATTAAAAGCTCCATCGCAACGAGATCCTCAAGTAATACGTATGTTCATTAAATGTTGAGACAATGGTCTAAAAGAAAATGGGATGTGAGGTGGGTTGGGGATAGGAGGCATTTACAACTCAGGTTTTATTTTGAAATTACCATCTACATAAATTTATCACCAAATATGCTAATCTTAAAATTTTTATTGAAAATTTGACATACTTCCTATTATTAGCCTCAAATAATACAAACAGTCCAATGCTGTTTGCATAAAGTTGGAATCCAGGAAATTGCCAAGATACTTTTTGGAGATTTATTCTCTATTTAACATAATCTAATCTGCAATTCAGTAAATTTTGAATGGAACTATCCCTGTGTGAACTATGGCTTAATTTCTGTTTAAGTACTAATACTGTAATATTTGGGTATTGACAAAATTATTAAAGTTGAAAACAAGGTTAAATATGTCTTCCATTCCCAAGATTATGTTGAAATTTGTTCACAGATGACATAGCTCATTCTATGATTATTTATTGAACTGTATGCTCTATCTTAATTTATATTTATTTAGGTGTGCTTAATGTTTATATTTCCATACATGTTTATATTTCCATACAAATCCCCTAAATTTTAGTGTTAGACAAAAAAAGCCCTCTGAAGTTCTCCATAGCAAACTGAATTTCTCAGTTTCTCCATAGAACTTAATTTCATCTGGAATGTGTTGAGTGTCTAAATATTCTATTTTTTTCTTAGTATTAAAAAAATGCACTAAAGTGTCAGTATTTTTCTGTCTTTTTGCAATGTGTGCTCAAAGGATCACAATTCACCTTAAAACTTGTTTAGAACAAACTTGCCTGTACAACTAGGTGTTTCAGATAAACTGGTGAATTCTTACACTTCTGATAACTGTCATGTCTGATTAAGTGTAACAATTTTTAGAAATTGGTGTGATCCAATTTTAGTTTATATAACGGTAACTTCTTTCAGATTAACTTCACCTCTATTGGAAATAGTGTAATATCCTCTGGCCGCACTTGATTGAGTACGCTCTTGCTGGCCTGTTCTTTCGAGCTCTGAATGAGCTGGATGTTTTTCTTAATGTCACTTCTAAATTGAAATGACATTGTTATAAAGATGGTTTCTAGGGAAGAATAAGAACTATTGACATCCCCTTGTCTCAAAAGTTTGCTCTTACCCAGAGACAAAAGTTTACTCTTTACCCATCCAATAGCACTTCTGTGATAAGATTGTTCGCACACAAAATTTTTTCGGGGGAAAATAAAGCTTCCATGGAGCCCCAAATAAATCTGGTGAATAGTTTCAGCTGTAGTTACCTCCCATTTCTCAATTCACACTCAGACCTAGCTGTCCTGTGGTACATATAACATGAAAGCTTTTTCTCTGATAGGCCATACACTTGTTCTCCAGTTGAATGATTTCCATCCCAAAATTCTAATCTCTCTATTCAGTGTCAGCTAGCTATTCAGGGAGAGGACACAGTACTCAATATTTGGCTACTCATACCATGATGTGGGCATCTCCTTCATTCCTCGAAGTCTATCTCTTGACAGAATGTTTAATATACAAAAATAAGATTACATCACCTCAAAGTATTTTAGGCAATCTGAGTATGTGAACTTCAGCTATTACTTTGAAAATCTAAGAACTTTTTTATCAAGTGATACATTTCCATGTAATCAAATTCTTGTTAACAGATTTTAAAAATCAGGCTGAAAGGTATTTTCAAATATGTGGTCAATGGGAAATGGTGAAAAATTCATCTGAATCTTGCCATGAAATGAAAGCACTTAAGTCCCAGTCTCTGGGACACTGAGGCACATTGAAATAAAACTAGACAATTTAAACATTTTTTAAAAGTATAATTTGGTTACAGGGATGCTTACTGAATAAAGCCATTTTGGCCCCACAAACTCATAGTCTTTAAAGCTATTGTATACATTCCCGGAGGTGCAAAAGATGCCAGGGTTGCTAAACGACCTGAAAAGTAGTATGTGCACTAAGGATTAAACAGATACTTTGCTGATTTTGAAAGTCTGCCCCCTGCCCCACTACCACCAGGCTAAGGAAAATGGTGTTTTGGGGAAAGCAGCAGGGCAAAAAAGCAACTGATAAGGTCCTGGCTGGGTATCTCAGTTGGACAGAGCATCGTCCTGATATACCAAGATTGTGGGTTTGGTCCCCAGTTAGGACACCGACAAGAATCAACCAATGAATGCATAAGTAAGTGTAACAACAAATCATTTCTCTCATTCCATCTCTAAAATGAATTTTTTTGAAGTAACCAATAAACCATAAAAACTAAAATTAATGTTCAATGGGAATTGGATTTGCTTTTTACTGTAATCAACTACTGCAAACAAGCAAACATGGTCAGCAGCCCAGGACTGGACTTTAAGAGAAGAAGGTGAGGTGTACAATCCTGACTTTCTACCTGCAGCTACCTTCGAAACATTTGAAAGGCAGTGTCTTGGGGAAAAGCACCACATTTCAGAGTTCCTGCTGTAGTTTGATGAGCAAGGTACCGGAGGGAGGGAGCTGCACCAAGAAGTAGCTACAGAAATTTGCTCTATAGTAGTGTTCTGTTTGTTTTGGGTTTTTTTTTTTTTTTTTTTTTTTGCCAATTCACTATTTTATTACCTTTAAATTCTTTTTTTTATTATGCTTTTACAGTTGTCCCAATTTTTCCCCCTTTACCCCTTCCTACCTAGCAACCCCACTGCCAAAGTCAACCCTTACCCCATTGTTCATGTCCATGGATCATGCATAGGTTCTTTGGCTACTCCACTTCCTATACTGTATTTTACATCCCTGTGGCTATTCTGTAACTGCCTATTTGTACTTCTTTATCCCCTCACCTCTTCACCCATTCTCAGAGAGCCCCCTCCCATTTGGCAACCATTAAAATGCTCTATACATGATTCTCTCTGTCGTCCTTGTTTTGTTTTGCAATTGTTGATAACTACATATTTATTGCTAATTTATTGTTCATGGTTTTGATCTTTTCCTTAAGTCCCTTTAGTATATAATAAACGATTAGTGATGATGAACTCCTTTAGTTTTTTCTTCACTGGGCAGCTCTTTAACTGCCCTTCAATTCTAAATATCATTGCTAGGTAGAGCAATCTTAGCTGTAGGTCCCTGCTTTACATGACTTTGAATATTTCTTGGCAATCCCTTTCTAGCCTGCAAAGTTTCTTTTGAGAAATCAGCTGACAGACTTATGAGAATTTCCCTGTAGGAAACTAATGGCTTTTCTCTGGCTGATTTTTAGATTCCCTATCTTTATCTCTGGCTGCTTCTGCTCAGTGGATTGAGTGCTGGCCTGCAAACCAAAGGGTCGCTGGACTGATTACCAAACAGGGCACATGCCTGGGTTGCAGGTCAGGTCCCCCACAGCGGGTGCCCGAGAGGTAAACAAACATTGATGTTTCCCTCCCCCTCTATAAAAATAAAAATGAATTTTTTTTTTTTAAAAAAGATTCCCTATCTTTAACCTTTAGCATTTTAATTTTGAGGTGTCTTGGAGAGGGCCTGTTTGCATCCATCTTGATTGGGATCCTCTCTGCTTCCTGGGCTTGCATGTCTATTTTCCTCATCAAATTAGGGAAATTTTCTTCCATTATTTTTCAAACAGATTTCGAATTTCTTGCTCTTTCTCTTCTCTTTCTAGCACCGCTGTGATGCAGATGTTGGGTTGCTTAAAATTGTCCCAGAGGCTGCTTACACTATCCACATTTTTTGATTCTTATTCCTGTTGTTCTGAATGGTTATTTTTTGCATTCTTATGTTCCAAATCATTGACTTGATTCTTGGCTTCATCCACTCTACTGTTCTTTCCCTTAAATTGTAGTTCATTTCAATTAGTGTGTCCTTCATTTCTGACTGGATCTTTTATGCTGTTGAGGTCCTCATTAAGTTTCTTGAGCATCCTGATAACCAGTGTTTTAAACTCTGCATCTGATAGGGTTGCTTATTTCCATTTTGTTTAGGTCTGTTTCTGTAGTTTTGATCTGTTCTTTCATTTGAGCTGCCTTTCTTTATCTCCTCATTTTGGGAACCTCCTTGTCTTTGTTCCTTTCTTTTATTATTTTTTCCCTTATTGTTTAAATATATGTGTCTCCATTTTTCCAGCCACCTGATCTTTCCCCTACCCCACCCACCCCCACCTTCCACCCTCAATCCTTCCCCACTTTGGCTTCATCCATGTGTCCTTTATACATAGTCCTGGATGACCCTTCCCTTTTTTATATCCATTATCCCCTTTCCCCTCTCCTCTGGTGACTGTTAGTTTGTTCTTTAGTTCAATGTCTCTGGTTATATTTTGCTTCCTTATTTGTTTGTGGATTAGGTTCCATTTATAGGTGAGATCATGGTATTTGTCTTTCACCCCCTGGCTTAACATAATGCTCTCCCGTTCCATGCTGTTGCAAAGGGTAGAAGCTCTTTCTGCTGGGTAGTATTCCATTGTGTAAATATATCATAGTTTTTTCATCCACTCATTTACTAATGGGCACTAAGGTTGCTTCCAGCACTTGGCTATTGTAAATTGTGCTGCTATGGACATTGGGGTGCATAGGTTCTTTTGAATTGGTGTTTTGGAATTCTTAGGGTATAATCCTAGCAGTGGAATCACTGGGTAAAAAGGCAGTTCCATTTTTATCTTTTGAGGAAATTCTAAACTGTTTTCCAAATGTCTGTACCAGTCTACAATTGCACCAAAAGTGTACTAGGGTTCCCTTTTCTATACAGTATTGCCAGCACTTGTTTTTTATTGATTTCTTTATGATGGCAATTCTGACCACTGTGAAGTGGTATCTATTTTTGGCCTTCATTTGCATTTCTCTGATGACCAGTGATGATGAGCATCTTTTCATATGTCTCAGGGCCCTGTATATGTTCCTTGGAGAAGTTTCTGTTCAGGTCCATTGTCCATTTTTTAATTGGATTGTTTCTCTTCCTGGAGTAGAGATTTGTGAGTTCTTTATGTATTCTGGAGATCAAACCCCTCTCTGAGATATCATTGGCAAATATATTTTCCCATACGGTTGGTTCCCTTTTCATTTTGCTGATGTTTTCTTTAGCCATGCAGAAGCTTCTGATTTTGATGAATTCCTATTTGTTTATTCTTTTCTTTGTGTCTGTTGCTTTACGGGACATACCACTGAAAATATTGCTGCATGGAATATCTGAGAGTTTCTTGCCTAGGTTCTCCTCTAGGACTTTAATGGTGTTATGATTTATGTTTAAGTGTTTTATTCCTCTTGAGTTTATTTTTGTATACAGTATAAGTTGGTGGTCAAACTTCAGTGTTGGCACATAGCAGTCCAGCTCTCCCAACACCATTTCTTAAAGAAGCTATTTTTACTACATTTTAGACCTATACCCCTCTGTTGAA